AAAAAAAAAAAGTCAAAGTACCACAAAAACAGCTCATGGGGGAACTGACTTACAGGAACATGTGCTTGTACTTCAAAGCAATTTGTCAAACTAACCAACAAGGAAACTGCTTAAAGTAATCACATATTCTAGCTAAAACCAGTAGTTTTTTTTGGATTGCATTGGCCATCATACTGATCCTAAGGATCAAGCTAGAATACGTCTTAATGCATGCTCAATTCAATATCAACCCTTAGTGATCCTCTATGTATCAGGAGTATCGAAACAGTTGAGACGCATTTTTTCTAAACACTGTCTCCATGGCTTTTAAACCCCCAAAACACACTGCGCTAAAAAATGGTCCACCCCAAGGATCGGGTCCCCCGACACAGAGTAATACAGTGCCCGCTGTTAAGTGCCAGAAGGATTGCCATGATTTATACAGTGGGGAAACCAAACAACCTCTGGCAAAGCAGATGGCACAACACGGAAGAGCTAACTCATCAGGCCAGGACTCCACAGTCTATTTACACTTAGAGGCCAGTGGTTTCTTTTTCAATGATGAGGATGCTCACATCCTGGACAGGGAGGAACGCTGGTTAGAGCGGTGAGTCAAGGAGGCCATTTACAAGAAAAGGGAAAGGCCACCTCTGAATCGAGGAGCAAGCCTAAGGGTACATATTTCACCTTACATCTTACAATGCTGTGATTGCAGCATTCCCCAACTCTCTGTGAAGGGTACTCATGGCCATTGATCAGTGGTTGTTGATCAATGGTCATGACAATTTGCATATTAATGATTAAGAAACTGACCTCACAGCCCATTGTTCTTTCAGTGGGCTAGTTTCAGTTATTGTGCAAATGTACTGTTTGTAAGTTTGGGGAAAGCTGGAGGACATGGAATGGTTGGCAGAATAATGTAAATTTCCTTAAATGGACTACCTTGTGTGTGAGGTGAGCTCCTCAGCAGATGATCTCTCTGCAGCCTGAGAGCAGTAGAGCAGTATGTCGAGACAAGTGCGTCACATTGAGGGCGAAGCAAGGAGCTGAGGATCCTCTCCTCTTTCAGGGGGCCCACTCTGGCTGCCCACAGTGCTTCACAAAGTGCCTCCGACTGCCCATCGCTTCTACGGGAGCTCCATGGCATCACAGCCAACACAGCGTATATCTCCTCCACCCACTCCTCCACATTCTCTGGCCTTCTCAGTTTCCTTATCAAGTGCTGGATGAATGCATTCTGCAGAGTATGGTCCTCTGTGCATGCCTGGTCAATGGATGAAATTAGGAAAACCAAAATATATTTTTTTAAGATATGATAATTGCACTGATACATTTTTCAGGTACTTTTAGTCATACATGGTAACAATATATTTGGACTTTACCTGTAAGAAATGTGCTAAAGATTGAGCGAGTCTTTGCTTTTTTTTCCCCAACAGAGTTAACAAACAAGACTCAACAGTAGCAGCAGTTGTTCTTGAACTCTCCACCACCTTTTGCTCAGACTGTTTATCCAAGAAAGCATGTTGCAATTCCTACAGAAAGATTGTGGTCATATAATTACAGAATCGCAAAAAGTTTTTATTGTCAAATGTAAGCTCGACTCTAGTTGGCAATAAAAAGCAAATTAACCTTGAGAACAGTCTCGGGTATGCCCTCTGACCCCAGTTCCTCCAGAAGTAACAAAAACTCCAGCTCTCTTCTGACATTAGGAGAAACCTAAAGTTAAAGAAAAAGTTTTATATAGGTGTTTTTTCTGCTCTCATACTGTTCAGCTGTGATGTTTTAAATGCCTTTTCACATTATTTACACAACAAAATATTATCTCTTTTTTTGCAAGAGCAAAAAATTTATTTTTTAATGTTCAATATTAGTTTTAAAAATATGTCAATAATGAAATAATAACACAACAGAAATTTAAATTTTTTTCACTTTTATTATATCTGTGACAGTTACCTGTTCTTCTGTCCATTTCTCCAAGACCTGCAGCCAAAACCAAGCCAGTCTATGTGGACTCCCTACTGACTCCCATCTACAAAAAACATTATTGGCACTCAATCATTTAAAGAAGCTCAAATACAAAATGTCTTCATAGCCTTTATTTCTTATTATAGTTTACTTCTGACTCACTTTAAGCTGTAAGGATGGCTGACAATAGCCTTGATCATGTCCCGTAAATTTTCGGAAAGTCCTCCCTCAGAGTTAACCAGCTGTGGTACACAGGCCCTTGCCAGCTCCCACTCTCCATGCTGCAGGCACCTCTTGAAGTACTCAAACAGATCCTGAAGCGATGTCTCGGCTTCACAGCCAAAGGGATGCATGGTCACTTTCCCAGTGACGCTTTCTGCTCAGCAGTCACACCTGAAGACCCAACCTCACTACCAGGTAGCCAAGGAGCACCCTTGAGCTTTCTTTACCTGAAACACACAATGATATTTATTTAGGTTTTTCATGAATATTAATAGTAACAGACTATTTGTTACATTAGTCCAAAAACCCACATCGACTGTTCTCTTTTAAAACAGCTGCAAAAGCATTGGGACAACACTTCTGTATTTCTTCATATTTTGCTCCCAAGGAGGCAGAATTTCTTGTCATTTTTAACGTGGTCTTGAGGAATAGTTCACCACATTTTTGAAGGTTTTCTAGTGTTTTTTTCTTTGGCTGCCTTTTCAGTCCAGTCTTTGTACCTGAATATTTTTACAAGAATGTTTCAGTGTTTGTTTGGTTATAAAGCCACTTCACAAAAGTGGCGGTCAAGAAGCCTTAAGGAAGTGAAACAGAGAGAAAAGGCTGAGGTATGCCAAATTACACATGGACTGGACTGAAAGTGAGTGGCATCAGGTCTGGTGGAGTGATGAATCCAAATGTGATATTTCTGTTTTAAAATGTGTAATACTACAGAAAAGGCCTGGGGGGAGTTACAAAAGTGAGTAGCTACAGCCATCTGTAAAACACGCTGCAGCTGCTAGAAAGCCAGTGGTTAATTCAGTTAATGCAAATCCATTATTAATGCAGAAAAGTATCATTAGATTTTGAGCCACCATACCATCTGATAAGCAGCAGCTTCATTTTTCAGCATCACAATGATCCCAAACACACTGATAACGCACTCGAATGCAGAAAAAGCACACCAGAAAAAACAGACCTTGGAAGACCTGCCTTAAGCCCGGAATTTATACATTTTACATACATTTTAAACGGTATGAAAGAAGAAGTTATAACTGTACCGACCCTTTTACATAGCAGATCATGAATGGTAAAACACAAGCAAGAGATAAAAAGAAAGTTTGTTGTGGGTCTCGAAATAAGTCTTAAACATTTATGGGGCGCTTACACGTTTATTTTCAATAGTAGTCTACTTATCACATTATTACCTAAAGTGAATTTATATGTTCTTTACTGACTCAACCCAAAAGCAGAATTTATACCAAATGTATGAAAAGCTACAAACTGTAATTAATTAAGCTGTACATCTTATTCGCTGTAGAGAGTGAAATGCTTCCCGTCCAAAGTGAAAACGATAACTTCGCTTTACAAAACGGTTTTCTTCTTTGACAGTTATCCCACTAGTTAGCATTAGCTTTTGTTAGAAATCAATGTGATTGGATGTAGCTTAAAAATGTCGGATAACTTCCGTAACAGTTGGCAGGGCCGTATCGTTCCACTCACATTAATTATTGAGAAATAAATTCAGAAAAGTTACTTACTCATTTCTTTGAGCCGTTTTTTGTTCAAACTGGGTGCAAGTTACTCCTACCTACGACTTTCTCTCGGCCTGTTATGCTAGCTGCATACAGGCTGCATAACGAGAGTCATGTGATCAAATCAGCTGACTCTCCTACTCCGGTTGGGCAAAGGTTGGTTCGAAGAGGGCGTTACGGATTGTTTTGGGGTTGTTTTTTTTTTAAATTGATGCCTTAAAATGCAGTCGGAAATACTGGCACTTAAAAAAAGGCTACTTAAAAAAGGGCGGGGGTTGTCATAGGGGAGGTATTTGACTTGGAATAATATTTCTAAACCAATCATGTTCTCAGCATTTAAGCTTTTTTTTTTGCTTTTTTTTTTGTAATAATATGATGCTGTGATTTGGGCTACAAAACACTGCAGTCAAGAAAAAGCCTCAGTGACTGGAAAAACTTTGTGATTATTTCTTCTTTCAGTTAATCCCTTTAGGGGTCACCACAGCAGCTCATCTGCCTTCATCTCACTCTTATCCACAGCATCCTCCTTTGTCACACCAACCCCCTCCATGTCCTCCCACCCAAAATCCATGATTTTTTTTCTCCATTTCTATTAATTAGCCTTCTAACGTTCAAATTTCACAATCAGGATGGTATGGTTATTATTCTAAATGAAGTGCTTGATTATTGTATCCAATATAGATCTACTTCTCAAAAAGACACAGCAGAGATGATGACAGAAACTTCCTCACACCCTGGACAAAACCTGTTTCAGTGCCTTCTCTCTGGTACCAACCACTGCAAATCAAAACATCTGCACAGGTTCTTCCCACAGACCGTCACTCTGATTGAAATTCACATAGTGTCTGTATCTAAACATCATACCTGCTGCTCATGTATATACTGTATATATAGTAACAGGCTATATATGCTGAGATTGTCACTTTTGTCTGTTGTTTAGTCTGCTACTGACACTGAGAGGAAAGAAATAACCGGAGTCCAACTACATGTATGTGTACACATACTTGCTCAATAAAGCAGATTCTGATTCTAAGGTCTGTGGTAAACCATGGCCAGTAAACACATCGGCCTGAGGTTGATCAAGCTGAATACTTTGTCATTAAAAATGTTGATAGGGACCCCAGACATCAAAGAGGAAGAAAATTTGTGAGATAACAGTCAACAGATACAAGAAAAGCTGACTGACCTTTAACCAGATTCCTTCATTATTAAAAAGAATGAATGTATGAGTGTGCATTCGGCCGCCCCATCCCTTAGTCTCTGTCTGCCTCTCCCACTATCATCACTGGGAACCAGTCTCTATGACAACGTAGTGCAGGCGGGGTTTGCCAGCTGGAGGCAGAGTCAGTCCGTCCTCAGTGTGTATCGCCGCTCCAAACCTCCACACTGCATCACGCCCTGAGTGGAATGGAAGAAAAGGACAATAAAGAAAATGTACGTAGCTTTCGTTTTGCTTTCGGTTTTTCCCCCCGTTCTTTTAAGCAGCTCGTGCATTGTGACATATCTGCATGCAACAGTATTATTTGAATTAGGGCACGCGGTAGATATACAAATATAGTTTGTGCAGCTGAGTCACTGACTGTTTAAATCCGGGATCAATAAAGCTATTGTTCCGGCCGGTGCAACAGACTGCAACTGACCGCAGATTAAGACATCAGCACGGAGCAGGGATTAGGAGACAGCTTTTATACACATGTATCCTCAGAATAATAAACTCAAGGAGACTCAGGAGAAAAAAGAGCTGTCTTTTGTATCGCTATAGGCCTCATCTGGCTCATCTCTATTGTTCCACAGGGGGAGTATATCGGAGAGATAAAAGGTGGGCTGCGGCCTTCAATGAAACTGGTTGTGATGGGAATTGTTGACAAAAAAGCCAAGAGGTTAGTGCACACCTGTTTTCATTTTAAGCGTCTAAATGTAGGGGGGGAGTGATTACATTACTATTAAGCTACTGTTGCGCACATTTCAGGATTACCAATGAAATTTTAGAGGGAAAGATGCTCATTTAAAGCAGCTGATGTCTGCAAGTGCTTATGCCAGTCAGCTAGTTCCTGTTTTGGGAATGTCTTGGCAGTGCCAATGCATTTCCTAATTAGGGTTAGTCTGTGAAATGTGCGTGGGAGAGGAGCAAATCCCATGAAATCTAAAGAGTCACTGGAATTTCTTTTGGTTGATAACATCGGCTAGCTATTTTTCCTTAGTAATTTAATAGCCTGAGTGCAATAAGAATTAAAATAAATAGGACAGATTTTACAGTAAGATTAAGCACAAAATAAACTGTGACAGACTTTTCTTTAATAAGATTTTTAAAAAAAGTTATTTTTGGTCGAAGTATCTTTAAAGAGTTTGAGGCCAAATGCTGTTAAGTTACATCTTTGTTGTCCATTTAAGGCTATAGATTTTCTAAGCTTCCCTTGTGGATTTATCCAAACAAAGTGCTAATACACTGCGTCCTGATAATAAATACTTCATCATCATCATCATAAAAAAAAAAAAATACTGATGCCACACACACACTTACTTTATTATGCTGGTTCCGAGAGAGTATGGAAATAGATTTAAAATGCTGAAGGCAAAATTTAAATTGTCACTGACGCAAAGTTTTGTTGTTTTTTCCACACGAAAAAACTGATTTGACTCAAATCTATAATTTAGAAAACATACAGTCTCCTGCAGGGATTAACTAGCATGCCTTTAGCCTGTTTTCTAGATAGTCACTATGTTCTGAAATGGTCTAACACTAATCAATACACTATGTAATTCAGGAGTGGGGACTTATTTTTCCCAATGGATCACATGAAATTGTGACTAGCTAATACTATTTTTTCTGTTTATGAGCTAGTGGTGCCAGTCTCTGCAACAATCTCAGTTTCTTATGTGGCCCCTTGGGAAAATGAATTGCCCACTCCAGATGTAATTTGCTATTCAGTTATCTCCTTCTTACCTTGTTGACTAATACAACTAATTGTAACAGAGACCAGAGGATGTCACTGTTCTGCTGATGACTGAACTACTTCCTTTAGAAGAAAAGATGACAGAAAATCTGTCACTCCTATCTTTAAACATTGTCTTTGTTTATGTCTGATTTGGCTTTCTGCAGCATTGAGGTGACTCTTTCCACTAAGCCACAGGAAGAGGAAACCGAGGGTGATGTGGGTCTACAGTTAAAAGTCAACTTTAGAGATAAGGCCGTCCAAAGAAATGCGCGTTTGGACGGAAAATGGGGCTCTTCTGAAAATACCCTCTCCTTCTTTCCCTTTGCACCTGGAGAATCCTTCAAGGTAAAGGTCAAAGAAAAGATTGTTGGGACAAAATCATCAGTTAAGCCACATGGTGGGGAACTCCAGCCCTGTCTTGGAGTGGTTCACATCACTTTGGGTCACAGCTGGAAATTTTGGTCTGATGTGGCTGCATTTTCATATGGCGTTCCACAAGGATCCTGTTTAAGTCCCTTGTTATTTTCAATTTTTATTAGTTCTTTTAACCCCATTTTTTTCATCATCTGTATGAAGATGACATTCAACTATACCTCTCCTTTAAAGCTTGGATAAGCTATCCATTTTAACTGACCGTCCTAATGCTATGAATAGTTTGATGGCAAGTAATCTTTAGCGAGTTAGCACAGGAAAGAGACAGAGTGTCTAATTCTTGCTTTGGAGAGCGTTTTCCCCAAATTAGAGAATGTCTGGGTTCTATCCACTGCAAAGCTAATCCACAAAATCTTGGGTTCATTTTTGAAAAATTGCTAAACTCAGGACCGTTGGCTAAAAATGTGAACTGGAAAATCTTGTTCATGAGCTCACCTCCTCCCACTTGGATTATTGTAATGCTCTATTTTCTTGTGTGTCTAAAGCATCTATTAATCACCTCCAATCTGTCCAAGATGCTGCGGCTCACACTCATAAATTCTCTAATATTTCCCTATTCCTAAGGTGTCTACAATGACTTCCGATTAGGTTTAGATATCAGTTTAAAATCTTGATTCTTACTATTATGACTTTTTAAAGTGAGACCCCCCACTCACATCAATCTACTCCATCCATATTCTCCAAACTGGAGACCCACAGATGAGGTCTTCCCGTCATCTGAAAACTAAGGGAGATTGTGCATTCCAAACCTTAGCACCAAAACTGTGGAAAAGCCTATCTTTCTCTGCCCCCGCTACCTTGTGGCACCTTTTTTTATAAAAAAAAAAAGAAAAAAGAAAAAGAAAAGAAAAGCTGAAAATACATCCATTCAGACAAGCAGAGTAATGTTTCTTTGTTTTGTATTGTTTCACTTGATTCAGGTGTCTTTATTTGACCTTGTTTTTGATACCCTTATAAAGTACTCCGTGGCAGCTTCTTGTCTTAAAAACTTCTATATAAATTAACTTTACTTACTAGGTACCTTTATAATCTCTGGATTAAGATTTCAAGAGTTCAATAAGCTTCAACGCTACAATGTTAAATGTTGTCTAAGTTTAGTCTGTAAAACAGCATCCATGTATTTCATACTGCTGCACCCAAAGGTGAGAGTGAAACATGGTTCACATGTTTACACAGTTTTATCTTTCTTTTTTTTTAACTTGTTGCCATAACAACACTGAATCTTGTAGTAGTGTGTATGATCTGGCAGTTACTTTTACCTTCATTTTGCATAGTCAGCATTTAAAGCTGTATTATAGCTGTTTGTTTTGCTGCCTCAGTAACAAGTTACTGTTTGCCACTGTTTCCCCAGCATGAGAGAGTGCAAGAGGGGATATGACTGATAGAAAGAAATGCCAGTTATGCTTCTGCTCTGAATTTTCTGCATCATAAAACATTTACAAAAGATGTTTGTGCAAGACTTTGAGTCATGATGCATGGTTGTAAAAATGAATGGGAACTGGACGCTAAAGCCAAAAATGGCAACTGTTCACTTGAATAATAATAATAAAAAAATTTCTAGCTTCCAGGTTTGCTCATGTTGGTGACTTATAAAAAAATACTCTGTGGGCCACAGGGCATTTTTCCATTGTGATATTGGATATAGGCTGAATAGGATGGATATTTTTAGAATAATTGGATTGTGGATGGCCTCTAATCTGGTCATGGAGAGGTGTTATATATTTGTAAAAAGCTATATATCTGTAAAAGCTTAAAAACCAAACACGTTAGCAGTTGAAGGTATTGTAACAACAGTTTTCCACACAGTGTCTAATGGGATTTCCCCCCTGTAATATAATGAATGGCAGCTGGAAAAAAATGTCTACAACTGATTCAGCTTCCTAATCCATCAGTGGTTGTTACATCCAGGGGTCTTCCTCAGTCCTGCCTTTGCTTACTGTTTCTTGGCACATTACTGCTACCAGCTGTCAGTACAAAAAGAAGTAACCATCATGTGGCTGCATGCTTGTGCATACAAGATGTACAAGGCAAAATAGGCCCTACTAACAAAAAGAATTCTCTGCCTTGCAGGCTGATAGCGCTAGTGAGTTTAAGTTATAATAAATAGATTTAAATGTATTAATCATCTTAGAGTCATATTAGCAGATGTCATTTTCTGTGAATGGTATTTCTCTTATTATCTTCTCTGATGCAGCATTAGTTTGTGGTTCAGGCTCTAGCAGTTTGTTTTTTCACATAAACCTACATGTAAAAACTAACTTTGACTGAATCTATATTTTCTTAGATGGAGATCGTTTGTGAACACCAGCAGTTTCGTATTTTGGTGGATGGGCAGCCTCTGTGCGGCTTCACTCACCGCCTCTCCCAGCTCGCCTCCCTCACAGCCTTAAGAGTTTTTGGCGATCTACAGCTTACCAAGGTGGCCTAACTCCAGCGCCTCATACGCAGACACCTAACATGAGGATGCCCTGGGACAGTATACTATACAATAAATAAGATTAGAATAGACTACTACTTTCTGAGTGCATAAATTTCCCCATGAGGGGAATGTTGTGTTTCCAATTTCAGACAGAGTTACACCTGCCTCGTAATCACATGTTAAGACAAAGTGCCTTCGCTAAGATTACCTGTTTGGAGACTTGAAGCTCTTGACTGAATGTACCAGTCATCGATCTCTCAAGTCAAATGAGGAATGTGATTTTAACTAAAGTGAATTAAGTTATAAAAAATGCGATCTGAGCTCTACTATTTTTCCTGAATGTACATTTGTACAAACATGATGTGTTACATCAAAAATGAAGTTTTTGTGATCTAAAAAAAAGAGATTTCAGGCATTTTGTCTTTGATTTCTCTGGGGTTAACCTTTGAAAGCACTTATGTTTACGAGCGCCCGCATCAAGGTGAATGTTTCTGAAACTGAATACCTAACAAAGATTGTCATTCTGTGCCAACGAAGTACTGTAACAGGAATAATAATGTAAAACAAAAACAGTTACCCTCCATTACTGCATGCTAGTGTGACAGTGTGCTTGTGTCTTGATCAAACACAATGGTGGATGGATGTGAGTCTGTCAAACCTTCAGTTTTTACCAACTTTGGCTTTGAAATCACCCGACAGTTTGTGTGCTTCATTTACAACTAGCACTTTTTATGTGAATGTCTCATAATGACTTTAATTCATTGCAATAAATCAAATTTGTTGTTATGTTTTTGATGTCTGGATTTTTTCCAAAACACATCATCATCTATACAGCTTCATATTCCTGTAGAAACTGCATCATGATTGCTGTGAAAACAAGCATTAAAACACCACCACCTCAGCTTGAGTCATTCAAATAAAGGCTCGAGTCAGCTTGCTGAGTGGGAGTGTCTGTCTATGATTCCTGGGAGTGTCTCATGCATGCACCTCTTGAGGCTTGTCTAGTCTGTACTTGTATTAAACTTCCCCTTGATGTCATACCCTTTACTTAAGAAAAAGCACCATTGAAAAACAGGCTCACTATTTAGGGATTGCCAGATTAGATTTATGACTTTTTAAGAAAATTTGGCACAACATAGAATGTAATTTCAACGCCAATTACACGCTCATGTGGGCCTTCGCATGAAGCTATAGCTAAAACCAGTTATAATGATGTCCTCTATAACTGTTTCCGAGCAGTATGTTACTATTAAGTTGTGCACCTGGACAAACTGTAAGAATAAAGGACAGTGTTTCCAATGAAAAGGACTGATTAGTCACCTTTTTGATAAAATACACACCTTTGATACAATAAACCTCCACTACACCGACAGTAACTGTGATTCATACAGGTCTTATGGTGCTGATAGAAAATGATTAAACAGGCTCTGTAAGCACCATGCACTTGCACGTGCTTTTAGTTTCTTGTATGTATATAACTCTCTCCAACAGTATGTGCTTTTTATATGTAGTTTATTTTATTTCATTAAACACTGTTTAATAATGTCTAAAGAATTTCTTGAAGGCATCAAAGTCCAAACTTCTTGTTCGGGCAAAAATATGTTTGTTTTTGACTGATATGTTATCATGTGATGCATGAATAGGTTGTTTTTCATTGTTACATCAGGTCTTTTGAAGCTATTCCAGGTGGAGTAAGCGTAATGATCTATTACACAGGTAGTTTAATCCAGTGATTCACAAAGTGTGGGGGTTAGGCCTTATTTACTTTAGTCACAAAGTAAAGCCGAGGCAAACTTGAAACTGTTCAAGCAGTTTGTTTTCCTCTTAAGGCCTTGGCTGTTATTCAAATTAAATAATCTGAGATGTTTGTGACAGCAGAATGTCTCTCAAAGACCTCTATCAACCTCAAAGTCGATTGTGGCTTTCACTTTTGCAACTGATTAAATGTCAGAATGTTCAAAACCACTAACTTTTTTAATTTTAACTTTTATTTATATGTTTTTAAGAAATAATCTTCACTTGAAAACCAGTCAAATGTAAAAGGACAAAATACAACCCCAGTTAAGTAAAAAAATTAAAGTAGTGGCACTGTGTAAAATGTAAATAATAAACAAATGTAAAAATGAGCAAATCTCATAAACCCATTTTATTCACAATAGAACGGAGAAAACAAATCGAGTCGAATCAAATCAAAATGTACCAACTCAATAAAAATGTTGGCTTATTTTCAATTTCATTGCAGGAACAAGTCTCAAAAATCTTTGGACAGGGCCATGTTTACATCCGTGTAGCATCCCTTCTTCAGTTAACAACACTTCGTAAATGTCTGGTAACTGAGGAGACCAGTTGTTGTTTTCCAGTTTTTCCTTAGTCATTTTAAATGAGCTTTGGCAAGGAAAAGACGACGGGATTTCTGGATCATGTTTACATATGGCTTCTTCTTTACTTGATTTTTGCTGATTAGTTGCCGCTTCTTTTTAGTACCACTTACTTTTCCAGCCTTTTGTCGCTCCTGTCCAAACTTTTTTGAGACACAATGCTGCCATTTAACACAAAATAAGCTAATATTTGTCATGAAATTGTAGAATGCCTCAGTTTCAACATCTCATATGGTTTCATTTATTGTGAATAAAATGCGGTTTATTAGAAACACAATGCAAAATATTGCATTGTGTTTTTATTTATGTGGCAGAAAATGGAACTGAGAAAAAAAGTAAAGGAAATGTACAGTAAACTTTTTTGTAAATGTACTTTTCACTACTATGTTGTATAAAATTCAGCAAGAGACACAATGTTCATATGATTATGTTTAATCATTTGCATTTTATTAACACGTAAAAAAATGTTTAACTTAAACTGTTTACAAGATACACTGCTACAACTTTCAAAACATTCATATCCATTCGTATACTCACAAAGAAAACAATCAAACCAAAAATTGTATTATAGGCACAAATGTACAGAAATGTTATGGAACCAGTAGCTCTGACACTGCTACACATTCTCTGAATATTGAACTTGAATCGTCTTCACCTGCTGAAGCATGTTTTTAACATGAATCAGCACTGTGATCTTATTGCATCTAACCAGTCCATTTTCTCCTGGTGAGTTGGCGCCTGGATGAAGTAATGTGTGTCTGTCTGAGTTATAATTTTAAACAAGTTGCCTTGAACGTTGCCTTTAACACCTGCATGGGAAGAGAAAATAAGGTTGGTGAAGTGCATCTGCATGGAAATATCAAACCTGATTTGGTTTGAGAGACTGGCAAATAAAACAGACAAAATCTTAAAATGCTTTTTTATTTCGCTGAGCTTTTTGATCTTAAATAATATAAAAGATAAGATAAATTTTATTAGGAGAACAGGTCTGTAATTGGATTACACAGAAACTTAGCATTGATACACAGGAGGAGTAGGGGCATGTTAGCACACTCACCTTTTTAGTCTTCATCTCAAAAAATGACAAAAACTTAAACAGTCTTACTTAAACTGCATTTCTGATAGTTGTTGGTCCTATTTTGTAATTGTTTGACAAAATGAAACTAGATATTAGAGCATAGGTGTCAAACTCTGGCCCGCGGGCCAAATTTGGCCCGCAGCCTAATGACATTGGGCCCGCGAAGCCATACCAAATTACTATTAGCGCTGGCCTACTGGTATTATACAGCTAATATATATATTGTTTAGTATTAAGCTTTGCTTGTTCCATATTCAGTTTTTCAGCAAAACTTGTTTGAGTCCATAAGAAAAGATTCATTCTTATATCTAGAGGAAGATTTTTTTTTTTCAATAAATATTAATGTTAGCCTGCGACTTTGTTCCAGTTTTGAATTTTGGCCCACTGTGTATTTGAGTTTGACACCCCTGTATTAGAGGGTAACTCACCTGAGGGAACGCCGTTATCCTCTAAAGATGACACAAGGCACCCTCGCAGTGAGAAACCACCAACAGGGCTGATGTCATCCTGCCAAATGACATAAGACAGGAAGTAGATCAGACTGAGTCACTCATGTAGAAGAATTATTGCTAATTATGAGTAGTTACATAGTTTCCAACACATGAAAACACAACAGTTTGGGCAGTTCAGTTTCTCTTATCAAACATATTAGAATTTTATGTCTTTCATTGTTTAGCTGATTTTAATTTTCTAACAGGTATTTTTCTCATTAGCATTGACTTTGCACTCACCTTGGTTGGATCATAATAGTGAAGGAAAGCAGGTTCTGATCGCAAAACAAACAGTCTCACTTTCCAGTTCTTTCTTCTGTGTCCCTGCGTTTAAAGATGAATAAAGTTTGACTAATTCATTCAAACACAGTGCAAACAAATGACCACCTTTAAGTCAAAGTACATGCACATGGTGCAATGCTAATTTTTGAGCTGCTACGACAGTGTTAATAATATTAGTGAATGGTTGATATATTTAGTTTCTTCAGCCTATTCTGTGCCCTCTTTCTTAGGAATTATTAAAAGGTCCAGTCACCCAGCAGTGTTTTCACAACCTGACAACTCAAAGTTCATAAATATTATTATTTATAGCATCTTAACACATCTTCAATACAGTAGTTTTACCTGTTTAAGCAGATATCCTCTTTTTATCACCTTCCCACTTAGCTCCACTGCAGACAACGATGTCTCTGCTTTCACACTGCCTCTCTTCTTTAAGCTGTCAGACTGTAATAAATCACAAAATATATTCTAAACCAAGAAAATGCCAAGTTTTCATTTACTCTCTCAGATCAATGTGATTAATTAATTAACACTAAAAAGCCACACTCAGTGTTTAGAGCCTGCTAGTTTGCCATTATCCAGTGCTACATACGAAGCTGTACAGAGCAGTGGAGTCATCCATGAATTGCGCGCTGAGGCCGGCAGTGCGAAGTGCCTCCACACTCTTCTGACCAACAGTTCGCAGGAAACCCTCCTCCAACAGGGCCGAGGCCAGCGTCACAGCCTCCACACGGGTAAGAACCAGCTGCATGAACACCAGCCAGTCCACCACTGCTGAACCTGTGGGAGGATCACACATGATAGCACATCCACAGTATAAGATCAAAAGAGCTTTGCAATTAGTATGAGGCTGAAAAACATTGCAGAAGGTCAAAGGTGCGCCTTGTTTCAAATGCTCACCTGAGAAGCAGTTACTATAAGTGCTGCCCTGCTCCACATGGTTGCTCAGCTTGATGCCACTGTGTACATCATACATTGAGTCCAACACCTTGCTTTTTGAAAGAAGACAAAACAAGATTGAGACATTTGGAACAAAATATACTAAATAAATTCAATCAGGAGACAGTGAAAACTTGTTTTTTACCTCAAGCTAATGTTGTTCAACTGGGATTCAGCCGGGTCTGGCTTGTCTGTCTTGGACTTGCCATTAGTTGTTTGCAGATTGTTGACTGCAGCATTGATATCAGCTGCCCACTCATCTCTCTCCTCCCTGGAACAAGCCTCCAAATAGTGATCCACCCCATGCTTTGTCTGGAGCTTCATCACCAACTATTACAACAACAAAAAGAGACAGATGTTTGCTTTAATTGGTGCCAAAAAAGAAACGAAAACAAACTGTTCTCAGCAGAGGATGGAAATCAAGTCCAGGCAAAAAAGAAACCTGGGGCAATAAATTATCTCTCTTAGTAGGGTATAAGCCTCACCTGGAGAAACACACCTTCAAAGTGGCTTCTAGCTATAAGGAAATGAACAAAGGACTGACTAGAAAATTAAAGAAACAGTACTGGGAACTATGATTTAAAAAGTACAATATTATATGAATGAACATTAAACTCTTTGTGCATACTAGTCCTCTATCTGCACTTAAAGCAGACTTAAATTTACTAGTTAACTCCTATGTTTTTAATAATTCTTATGGCAATTTTATTATTACGTTAAAGTTTGGAACTTTATTTGATCAATCCACACACATATTATGTCAGAGAACATATTTTTTCAATCTTTAAATGAAATGTTCCCTTAAAATCAATTTTTATTTTATCTATTTTGTAATCTTTTGAATTTTTTGCAACTCTCTCATTTTATTTGCAGAACCCAGTTTACAGTAACCTACCGGCCGATTTTCATACTCCAGGAAAGGACATGTAATCACACAGTCCTTCAGCAGGATTTTCCCTCGCTGGCATGAGTCCCTTTTACTTCCTTCATATTTGTAATACAACAACTTGTCTGGGGTCAGCACAAACCAGCGTGCCTTCCAGTTTTGTACAACATGACCCTGTGAAGAGATCCAAAGTTGGAGTTAAAGTTATTAATCATGTCTTATGTGCCAGAGAGCAACTCAATGAAATCTGTCTTACCCTTTTCACCAGAAATCCTTCTCGAAGAATATTGACTTGCTTGTCTGTATCCATGCTCCTCAGTGGGATCTCAACAACTGAGCTTGCCTGTACATGTAAGCTCAGGCTTTTAATGCAGACGGTAAATGTGTCACCCGGTCTACACCCACATTCACACCCACACACTGAGCTTGCTAAACAGTGTGAATAATCATATATTCTGCAATTTCTACGCATTACCACATGAGGGTACTCTGACTCACTTAGAAACTGAGAGACAATGTTTTCTAATGGTATCCACAGATTTAGTTTTCCATCAGTTATAGTATGTGAAAAATTCAGATTTAAGACATGTGACTGTAGGGAACATCCTCCCGACAGACCAGAAAATTTTATCCTATTATGATTTTAAAAACACCAGCTGGTGGTCCACCACAGCCCTTAGGAGCAGCTGTGCCCGATAGGAATAGAGTTTCATTCAAGTCTCCTACAGATGTTTATTACTCATCTGCCCAGTTAATGAGACTCCAAGAAACAAGCATTTTACTCAGACCCCTGCTTTCACAACCATCTGTGGCACTGTCTGCTTCATTTTCCTTTCCTGATTCCTGGTTGTAACAAAACTGATAACCTTTGTGGCGCTTTGGAATACATACATTAAAATAATAATATAGTTTGTGTTTATTTATTTAGACTTAGATGTATTATGGCTGTTGTAGTTCTCTAATGAATCAAAATGCTATATATACACACAATATAATAGACATGAAATTCCAGAAAATTACTTTTCAAAAATAATTTTTTTAATATTGTATTAATAAGTGAACAAAGGGCCCTTTTCACATTAAACTGGTGAAGATGTTTTAGGAAAGATTTAAGCTAAATATAGACCTGGGTTTTTTTCATTGTGACTACTCAAGCTTGTTCTACACAAGTGGGGACTTTATGAACAGAAAATTTGGTTTTGAATTGTATTTGTTGTAATTTTGCATTTTGTATTAGATGCATTGATGTGCAATATTAAACATTTAGTTGAACTTCTGATCATTCTTTGAAAATGTTTTGTTATATTTTACTATTGAACTCAAGCAGTATGAAACCTGTAAAATGCAAATATTTATAACACTTACAGTAAAATATAAAGGAATCAAAAGTTAAATAATCGCCATCCATTCACACCAATGGGCAATTTAGAATGGCCAATTAACCTGACCCCATGCCTTTGGACTGAGGGAGGAAGCCAGGGTACCTGGAGAGAAGATGCAAACTCCACACAGAAAGACCCTGGCGTAGTGGAATTGAGCTCAAACTTCTTCTTGCGAGCCAACAGTGCTAACTACCATGCCACCATGTCACCACATAAACTAAAAGGACTAATAGAAAACTGCCCTAGATCTCTTGTGGCTTGGATAAAGCTTTTTGTAACCCTTTCAGCTGCTTACTTTAGGGTTCATCATCATCTGCCTTCATCTTTTCCTATCCCTGCCATTCACCTCTGTCACGTTGACTCTCTGCATCTCGTCCTTCACCCCAATGAATCTTCTCTGTGCTTTTCCTTCTGCCTGGCAGCAACATAGTCAACATCTTTGTCCCATGTATTCACTACCCACTAACCATCTCAGCGTTGACTCGCTAACTTTGTTACCAAAATGCTCAACCTGAGCTGTCCCACTGATGATCTCGTGTCTAACCTTGTCCATTTGGTTTTTCCAATTTTCACATCTTAAACGCTACCTCCCTTCTTTTTGTCAGTGCAGCCATCTCCACCCACTCTGTCACGCTTTAACTATCTTCTGTACCTCTCTTATGCACTGTCTGTTGCTTTTGAAAGTTAGAACCGAGGTTTTAAGTCAACTTTCACTCCCTTGTATCTTCCTAATATTTATTACAACGTTTTTGTAAAACTAATTTTAAAAAAACCCAACGTAAATTACGTAATCTACTGTTTTTCTTGCTTAAATTGGTCAATAGAAGAAAACTTCAGATACCAGAAATCATGATCCTTGCCTACAGATTTTGCACATTCGTATCACATCCATAGTGCGTGTCCAGGGCTTTTATTATGAAAGGTAGGGGCAGGAAACATGTTCTCTTATCGACGGACCGTGATGTTTCCGGTATAGATGCAGGCTCTAGCCTCCAGATGTGTTGTTGACGCTGTGTGATGGCTCCAGGTGAGTCTTTTAAAGATGTTGAAATAGCTGACTACTAATTACCTAGTTGGTGCGTGTGTTGTTAATAAAAATCACAGCATACGCTTCGTAATAATTACGTCGGGCAGCATTGACCGGTTGTGCTATGCTAATATATAATCAGCTACACGAAATTGGCTGCAAAGGGAGGCGACTTTAGCAGAGATGCAGCTCGGAGAAGCACAACTTTGGTTGAAGCATAATTATTTTATTGTGAAAACGATCAGGTTTCTACCTAGAACAAATTGAAAAAAACAACAAGGACGAATCCAAAGTTTAAGATAAGTGTGCATAGCATTTGGAATGACTTTCATATTTATCATAATGCTGATGAGTATTTTAACCCCAAAAACTCTAGTGCAGAAAGTGTTGCAGGGTTTTATATACAAAACTTGAAATTTCCCTCCAGTATAATTCTTGGAATTCACCATGAATCATTAAATTATATTGCCACATTGCAGTAAGAATGGACAGAGATGATTGCATTATTATTATTATTATTATTATTATTATTATTATTTAATTACATTCATGGTGGTCGACCAATTTCGATTGGAAAGTGTTTGGCTTATTGTCTCAGACTTTTTGCAATTCCTCCCAGAGAGATTAATGAAGGTCTGCCCATGAATTGCCATCTAATCTGTAACCACAGAAACATTAGCAACATGTTGCAATCAGTCTGAGTCACTCTACAGTGAAGAGTACGACTCTGTGTGTGGAGGAATTTTATGAATTTCTGTGTCAGATCTATGATATCTAGCTTTACTCTGAATACAGATAGTTATCGTTAATTTCTGTGTATATAGACTGCTACAGATTTGCAATTTATGCTTATTTATCACAGCTAATTTTCATATTTTCACAAACAGACTGACCTCATTCGATAGTAAACTGAGTCCATCAAACTGTCTTTTTTATCAGGGCTGCAGTTATTGATTGTTTGAGTGATCAAGCAGATTATTGCATCAAATAAATGTGACATATTTAAATCAAAACAAGAAAACATTTTCTTAATTGCAAAAGTAAATAACTTATAATATCAGTTATAGTTATGTCAGTATATCAGAAATTTTAAAAACGTAAGACATACATACAGCCTAAATTAACTAATAAATTAAAGTAGTTTTTACTCTGTCTTGTTGGAAGGCTTCCTTATATTATTAGGGGGGGTAAACTTATAATATATGTTTTTCTGTTTAGATGTGCTAATAAATGAGCCTGTATGTGTCTGTAAACCTTTAAAGGGTCATGTAGTGGCTGCAGTAAAGAAAAGTCAGCATATTAACTTTCTCAGAACTGAGGTTTTCCCTGTGCAACGTTCTGATGGTGTACATGTTAATAATTAATATTAATAATAACTTAGAGTCCAGCATCACAGCCCCAGGCCAGTAGCTCACAGTTTTACTGCAGCAGAGATGTCCTATTTTGAAATAAAAATATGCTTTAATCAATATAATTTATTGATATTTATTTTTGATATTTTATATGTTCATATCATATTATATTATATTTTGTTGGGCTGTCTTGGTTGACACGCCTCTACAATGTTGCGGTGCCATGGTCCTCAGCTGGACAAAGGGTGGAGTGCCCACTCCGGGTCAGGGATGAGTTCTTGCCCCAAGTGGAAGCGTGACTGGAGAAGGGTGCGGGAGAACAACAGACGGATTGGTGCTGCGGTTGCAGTGATGCGGATGCTGTACTGGTCTGTTGTGGTGAAGAGAGAGTTGAGCGTGAAAGCGAAGCTCTCAATTTACCGGTTGATCTACGTCCCTACCTATGGTCACGAGCTGCGGGTAGTGACCGAAAGAACGAGATCGCGGATAAAAGCGGCAGAAAAGGGCTTCCTCTGAAGGGTGGCTGGCCTCTCCCTTAGAGATAGGGTGATAAATTCGGCCATTCGGGAGGGGCTCAGAGTCGCTGCTCCTTCACATCAAAAGGAGGCAGTTCGGCATGTGACAAGGGAACGCCTTGGTGTTCCCCCGGATGAGCTGGAGGAGGTGGCTGGGAAGAGGGAGGTCTGGGCTTCTCTGCGTGGGCTGCTGTCCCCGCGACCCAGCCCCAGATAAGCGGAAGAAGATGGATGGATATTTTATATTAATCTTAATCTGCAAAATAATGTTATGAAAGCCTTAAAATAAATATGTTAGCAGAACGTGATGCCCCCACTTTAAACTCACCCCTGCTTGCTTCAGGTGTCACTGCGATAGAAAGTTAAATAAATCCTCTTTTTAAAAACACAACAATTTGCAAACTTTTTATTTATTTTATTTACACTTCTGCAGCATTACTGTGGATTTCTGTCATGTAAAACAAACAGCAGCTGTTGTAGTTTGTTGAACAGGTGGTTTAAATTAAGGTTGCAAATTACAGCATCAAGTCCACCTGAGCTCAGAGTCTCGTTAAAGGCTCCTCTCTTTGCACTGCACCACGTCGTTGTAGACGGTCTCTGGCTCCACGTTAAACTATGACAGGTTACTACTGCTATTGTGTTATACACACACACACACACACACACACACACCTCGGTTTCTATAGCAGGTTGATATTTAGTTGTAAATGTGGGTGAAATACTTACATGGTGACAGCTGTGCGATGCAGAGTCGTGGATTTAAAAAAAAAAGCATCGAAGCAAAGAATTTGCATTGAGGATTTTTTTGCAGTTTTTGAATGAGTCGAATGGTTACAGACTCGCATTTCATCGGCACTTTGCACCAAAGTCTCTGTGAACACAGCACCTGATTGTGAGTGGTCGTGGACCTGAAGCAACCATTTCAAAGACAACAAGATCACAAGTTCACTGCACACGCCACAATAATTTTGGTGTCTCCAACCTCTGCTTTCCCTAATCTGACTGTAGTGTAACCAAGCTACAGTCAGTGTTCATGAAAGTTTAACTGTGTCCACTAGAATGTTTATTAACTTCTTTAGCTCAGAACAGTATCTTCAACAGAAATCTGCATTGTTTGCTGTTGGTTCAGGTTACTTTTTGATCATTTAGCAAGAAGAAGAAGAGTGCATATATCGCTGAGTAAATTAAACATCAGGTTAGGGCTGGGCGATATGACCCAAAATTCATATCTCGATATTTTTTAGCTGGATGGCGATATAAGATGTATATCTTGATATTTTCTTTTTAAAGCCATAAGTTAAGAACAAAAAGAGAGTTCTTAGTCACACTGTGTCCCAGATGTCACACGGGCACTTTTATTTACATACAGCGTAGATGTACATGAAGAAATTACT